CTCAGGAAACTGTTCAAAAAATTTCAAAAAGAAAATAATTAGGAAATAATTAAAAGCTACTCATAAAAAGTTTCTTTTAAATGGCATTAAAAAAAACTTGAAAAAAAACCCCCAAAAAATAGACCATCAAAAAATCTTGAAAACTTAGTCCTTCTGTGTTAATTTTAAACAAGTCTTCCTTCTATTCTTAAAAAATTCTTTTTAAAAAAACATTCTTTTTAAAAAAATTTCAAATTGTTATTTTGACTTTTTTTACAAAATATTTAAAAAAAAAAATAGGATTTTTGATCATCAGCTCAATGGGTCAACATGTACGGCTAATATTTCCCAAATTTGAATCGTTCGGGAATTCTGCAATTACATATTACAGTATTTCCATATACAGGGTTCGATAAAAAAAACGCCAGGAAAGTCGGAAATAGCATCAAATTTTAGAATAAGTTTAGATTTGTTCGAATTGGTCACCTTTGGCACGAATTATGGCCTCCAAACGGCTAATAAAACCGCCACACGCTGCCAGAATGTTGCTCTCCGGTATTTTGGCCCATTCCCGACGAAGCGCTTGCTTGAGATGATCGACACTTTAGTATTTTTAGTGCCAACCTTGCTTTCCAAAATACTCTAGACACAATAGTCCAACGAATTGGTATCCGGAGATTTTGGTGGTCATTGTGTGCTGGGTGACGCGTTCTGGGTCATGTTGGAATGTCAAAGGTCTGCGGCCAAAATGTTTGCGTGCCCAAGGTTTTAATACACCCTCCGGAATATTTTCGCGATAATAATTCTGATGCCACGGTCGATTAATACGAGCGGAGAGCGACAATCGGCTGTTATGGCGGCCCACACCATCACCATCGGCGGTGCTTGAATTCTGGTGGCACATTTTCAGCTGACCTCTTTGGCAGGTAAACACGATCATTTTGTTTGTTTACAAACTGTTTGACAATGACAACGAATGCTTTCTCATCGGAGAAAACCAAATTCGGCAGTTAACCACTTTCGGCCAAGCGAAGCAACTCTTTAGCTCTTTTGAGTTCATTTTTCTTTCTGTTGCGCTGTAAGTTCTTGCACTTTTTGGCTTTACGCCGAGTTCATTTTTCAATATGTTCCGAATGGAATATTGCGATATATTCAGATCACGAGTCTTTCAAAAAAATCAAGTTATCTCTTTCGAAAAGAATATCTAAATTCCTCTTCGATTAATCTATTATTGTGACATGTCGAGAAACTGCAAAATCAGGAAAATTTTGGGTTTTGAATCATTTCAATTTATAAATATTTTGCGATCGTCTCCACCAACAACAGACTTCCATTCTGAACCACAACTCCTTGTTACAAAAATAACAAATTAACACAAGTCTTTGGAATAATATTAAAAATCTACGATCAATATTCGAAAACCCTAGTTAATTCTTAAAAAAATCCAGGTTAATCTTTTTGAAATAAATTCTAAACTTATACATGTCCTTTAAAGTACAACCATTTTAAAAAATTAATCCTTCAAAATGATGATAATATCTTTGAAAATTCTTGTAGTTCCTTCAAAAAAAGGCTTTAAAATATATTATTAGATATGGGACTCGTAGCGCAGTAATCAAAATTTGCACTTTAAAAGGGTTTCTTTTGCATTTCCCTTGTAAAATAATGAAACCGAAGTTTTAAAAGGATAATAAAAAAATTGAAAATGAAATAAAAAATTCTACAATATTTCTTTGACATTTTAGGATTTAAAATGTAAGGGAATTATAAATTATTGCATTCTTGGATTTATGGATTGCCAAATTTTCGCCTGACCTTTATTGAAAATATTTACTGTTTAACTTTTAACTTATATTTTAAAAATTTCACTTTTTATTTGCCATCCACGACTGTCGGTCATCGATAAACTAATTGTGAAACTCTTGTCATTTTATGTCAGCTAGCAGCTGCTTCTGTAACAGCTTAGCTCTAGTTTTGTTTTTACATATTTTTTTTTTTTTAATTTTACTTTTTGTATTTTTATTTGTTTTTAATGTCTACTTTCCGCTGGTTTAATATTTTTATTTATTCATTATTACTTGAAATTAATTTTTATCATTTTATCACTTAAATATTATCATTAAATAATTAGTTTTATTTTTTGATTTTTCATTTAATTTATTTTTTATGATTTAATTTTTTAATTCAGTTTTATTTTAAATTTAATCTTTTAATTGTTGTTATTTTTTATTTTAATATATTTTTTTAATGACAATTTTCCGTAGGTTTTTTTAATTTGTTTATTCATTATTATTTTTAATTAATTTTATTCATTTTATCATTTAAATATTATCTTTAAATAATTAGTTTTATTTATTTTCATTACTTATTTTTTCATTTAAATAATTTTTTATGATTTAATTTTTTTTTTAAATTTAATCGTTTTGTTTTTGTTAATATTTTTTAATTTAGCATATGTTTTTAATGCCTATTTTCCGCTGTCTTTTTTTTTTTTTGTTTATTCATTATTGCTTTTAATTAATTTTATTAATTTTATCATTTAAGTACTTTCATTAAATAATTAATTTAATTTGTTTTATTTGGATTTTTCATTTAATTTATTTTTTATAATTTATTTTTTTTAATTTAATTTTTTTAGTTTTGTTAATTTTTTACTTCAATATATGTTTTTAATGTCTATTTTCCGTTAGCTTTTTTTTGTTTATTCATTATTGCTTTTAATTAATTTTATTCATTTCCTCATTTAAATATTATCATTATATAATAAGTGTTATTTATTTTATTTTTTTGATTTTTCATTAATTTATTTTTTATAATTTAGTTTTTGTTTTTTTTTTTAATTTTAATATATGTTTTAATGCCTATTTTCCGCTGGCTATGTTTTTTCCTTTTTTTATTTATTTTTTCATTTTAGTCATTTTTTCATTTAAATATTATCATTAAATAATTTATTTCGTTTGTTTTATTTGGATTTTTAATTTAATTTATCTTTTATAATTTAATATTTTTGTTTTTGTTATTTTTTTTAATTTAACATATGTTTTTAATTCCGATTTTCCGCTGGCTTTGTTTTTTATTTATTCATTATTGCTTTTAATTAATTTTATTAATTTTATCATTTAAATATTGTCATTAAATAATTAGTTTTGTTTATTTTAAGTTTTTGATTTTCCATTTAATTTATTTTTTGTAATAAATTTTTTAACTAATTTTTTTTACATTAGGGATTAATGCCTATTTTCGCTGGCTTTGTTTTTTTATTCATTATTATTTTTAATTAATTTTATTTATTTTATCGTTTTAATATTATCATTAAATAATTAGTTTAATTTATTTTAATCTATTTATTTTTCTTTTATTTTTATATATTAATTTTTTTTCACTTAATCTTTAAATTTTTGTTAATTTTTGTTTTTATTTAATATATGTTTTTAATGCCTATTTTCTGTTTTTATTTATTCATTATTACTTTTAATTCTTTTTATTAATTTCATCACTTAAATATTATCATTAAATAATTAATTTTATGTATTTTTTAATTTTTTATTTTTTTTTTTTAATTTTTACTTGATTTTTTATTTATTTTCTTAATTTAATTTTCTAATTTTTTATATTTAATATTTTCATTTATTTATTTTTTTTTATTAATAATAATATTATTATTAATGCCTATTTTCGCTGGCTTTGTTTTTTTATTCATTATTATTTTTAATTAATTTTATTTATTTTATCGTTTTAATATTATCATTAAATAATTAGTTTAATTTATTTTAATCTATTTATTTTTCTTTTATTTTTATATATTATTTTTTTTTCACTTAATCTTTAAATTTTTGTTAATTTTTGTTTTTATTTAATATATGTTTTTAATGCCTATTTATTTATTTATTTATTCATTATTACTTTTATTTCTTTTTATTAATTTCATCACTTAAATATTATCATTAAATAATTAATTTTATGTATTTTTTAATTTTTTATTTTTTTTTTAATTTTTACTTGATTTTTTATTTATTTTCTTAATTTAATTTTCTAATTTTTTATATTTAATATTTTCATTTATTTATTTTTTTTGTTTTTTTTTTTATTTTATTTATTTATTTTTTTTTTTTTTTTTTTGGGTTCATTTTATTAATTTAATTTTTTGAAACTCGCACCAGTATCATTTGGTATTTTTGTAATATCCTTTGTTGTAATCACATTGTCACCCACCAAGAAAAAACCTACTAAAACCCAAATAAATCATTTCAAAATTACTGTTCAAACTAAATATTAGCATTTTTTTTTTTTTTCGTTTATATAATATTTCGATTTTGATGTTATGCCAACAACAAAAATTTTTTCTGTTACGCTTTTTGTTAGTTTGTTCGAAAGTAAATTATTTAAATATTCTTATTTTAAATGCAAATATTTACTAACATTTGTGTGAGTGTTAACTACTAATGCCTAAAACTTGATAATCTCCTTTAAAATGAAAACCCTTTATAAATATTATTTATTTGTTTTTTCTTTTTACCTAAAATTATTCTTTAATATTTATTATTTCTTTTTTTTTAATATATATTTTTTATATAATTTTTCCTTTATTACAATTATCATATTTAAAAAAAAAAAAACAGTGAATTTGTTAAGAAAATTCCTTGTAATAACATAAACAATTTTCTACTCTACTTTTTTTGCTACAAATCTCCATCCATCCAAAACCAAAAAACAAACAAAAAATAAAAATCAAAAATCACGGCGTTTTGTTACTGGATTTTGTTTGAATGAATGAATGATAATTGACACAAACAAACGAACAAAACAAACAAACCTATCAAACATATTTGGATACAACCCTGCTACGACCCCACCCACCCTTGTTTGATATGCAACAACGATGTCGGGTGTTTAATGTCTGATGTTTGATGTCTGCTGGATATGGAAAACCAAAAAAAAAATAACTCAAACTAATTGGATTATTGGAACCAAAAAAAAAAAATCAAAAACCAAATTTAACCAAAAAAAAATTTAAACAACAGGAAATTATTCGCGTCTGGCTTGCGAGATACAATTCGTGCGCTCTATGGGCTATTATCTTATACAGATTTACATACCCTCTGGACTGATCGTTATTATATCATGGGTATCATTTTGGCTTAATCGTAATGCTACACCAGCCCGTGTAGCTTTAGGTGTCACCACTGTGTTGACCATGACAACTTTGATGTCATCGACAAATGCTGCGCTGCCGAAAATTTCTTATGTCAAATCGATTGACGTCTATCTAGGAACGTGTTTCGTGATGGTCTTTGCCAGTTTATTGGGTAAACAAAACTAAAAACAGATACTTTTTTTCCGACCTTCTTTCTATTCTCTGTTTCTATTCGGTTTTTATCTTTTCCAACTTGTAAATGTTTAATGTTCTGTGTGTTTTAATTTTTTATTGTTTTTAATTTTTTTTTTTTTTTTTTCAAAGAGAAAAAATCAGTTTCAGTATTTTTTTCAAATTTTTTTTCAGTTACACACTACTGTACATTTTTGTGTTTGTCTTTTTGTTTTTATGTCTTTGTGTCTTTAATTTCAACAATTTTTTCTCTCGGTGTACATTTTGTAGAATAAAAAAATTACAAAGAACAAAATATTGACGTACCCCAAACCAAGCAAAATGGGTGACGACTTTTCGGTTTAGACATAGACCCCAAAATCCCGTTAAAAGTTCTCCGCAAGCAACCTTACTGGATTTTTAGGGAAATTTCCAAAACCGTGTTGACCCCACTTTGCCCTACAATAACAATTACCACTATCACCACTACTACTACCACTACTACCACCACAACTAACTTAACACTACTACTCTACTAGCTCTTTTTCTTCCACTCTCTTTTTCTAAACTCTAACCAAGAAAGAGAAACTTATTGGATTCGAAGCAAAATGGTATTGGGGGTTTACCCCAAATACCCCTTGCTTCCTTTCCATTTGTTTAATACACCACAAATAATTTTTACACAATATATTTTATTAATTAATTGGTCAAAGAATATAAAATTTATGTTTAAAGTATCAATGGAGGAGCCTAGGCTTATTGCCACTAACAAATACAGTTACAAATTATCACTACCACCAGCGAATAACCAATGTAAATAACTAGGTTTTTTTGAAAACTTTTAAGGATATTTAAATTATTTTTAAATGGTTACTCATTGAATGAGTAATTGGTAATCGGTTCAATTTGAAAAGAAACGATAAATTTTTCTCAGCCACTATATACTATTTTTAATGGTTTCTTGAGTAATTGGTAATCGAGTAATTGGTAATCGGTTCTTTAATGGTTACGTAATCGGTTACTTTTTTGGGATTTTTTTTTTTCACCATAAAAATGACTATTGGAGTAATCTGTAACCGGTTTTGTTAAGTAATCGTGGAACAAGTAATCGATGAATTTTCATTTAAATGTTTACTTATTAAAAGAATACTTTGTAATCGGTTCATTAAGTGTAGGGTAATCAGTTACCACCATAAAAATTCACAGTTCATTTTTGTTAAGTAACCGGATACTTAATTGTAATGTTAAAAACAAATACCCTCATTGAATGATAATAGATCGGTTCATTTTGGGACAAGTAATCGATGCATTTTTATGAGACATTATATAATATTTTAAATGGTTACTAATTAAAAAAGTAATTGGTAATCGGTTCATTAGGAAATTGGTAATGGGTTACTTTTCCTATATTTTTTTCCGATTACTTGGTTTATTTTGCAACCAGTCATTTTTATGAGACATTATATAATATTTAAATGGTTACTTATTAAAAAAGTAATTGGTATTCGATCAAATAACTATCAGGTAACCGGTTACGTTTTTAATTTTTTTTCGGAGTTTTTTAAACCAGAAATATTTTTTTTTATTTTGCACTTATTGAACGAATAACGTTTAATACGACTACTCGAGTAATCGGTTCACTTCAAATTAGATAATCGGTTACTTTAAATAATATTATCGAACGATTTTCCATATTTTTTATTGCAAAATGATTTCAGCATTTTAAGAGATTACTTTCTAAAAACAGTTACTTCAAAGACTGTATACTATTTTGAAACGGTTACTTATCGACCAAACAATTAATTCTTCGGTAATCTAAATACTTTGATTTGGGTATTCGATTTTTTTTTTTTTTTTTTGCCTGAAGCATGTTATTTAAATATTATATTTTGATCGTGACCTTTGTTTAAAAGTTTATTCGTATTCGGTCCATTTTTATACCCTACACCACAAGGTGGTCAGGGTAATATGTCTTTGTGCATTTGTTTGTAACAGGCAAAAGGAAACGAGATAGACCCATAGTTCCTTTTGATGATCTGCATAGAATCACTTTCTGACTTGATTTATGCATGTCAGTCTGTCTCTCCATGCATTCTTGTGAAAAAAATTCAGGTCGTATTTATTATCCGATTGAGATGAAATTTTCCAAACAACATTTGTTTGGCCCAAGGACGAACCCTATTGAAATTGGAGATATTCGGTCAAAATTTAGATATAGCTTTCATATATATCTTCGTCCGATTTGCATTTTATTGTGCACCAAACGTGTAATATTAGCCCGAATAGTATGGAAATTTTCACTTACCACCAAATTAGGCCTGAAAATAAGTATGCCAAATTTGATCGAAATCGGTTCAGATATAGCTATAGCTTCCATATATATTGTTCATCCGATTTGTTATTTTTTTCCTCCACAGCCGTAATATGCACTCTGTAACAACAATATTTAGGAAAATATTTCAAATACAGCTCAGAAATACCTTTGCTAAATTTTATCGAGATCGGTTCAGATTTGGATATAGCTTCCATATATATAGCTTCGTCCGATTTGCCTTTGATTGTGCACCAAATGTCTAATATTTGTCCAAATGGGATGAAATTTGGCACATACGACCAAATTGAGTCTAGAAGCTAGTATGCCAAATTTGATCGAAATCGGTTCAGATATAGCTATAGCTTCCATATATATTGTTCATCCGATTTGTTATTTTTTTCCTCCACAGCCGTAATATGCACTCTGTAACAACAATATTTAGGAAAATATTTCAAATACAGCTCAGAAATACCTTTGCTAAATTTTATCGAGATCGGTTCAGATTTGGATATAGCTTCCATATATATAGCTTCGTCCGATTTGCCTTTGATTGTGCACCAAATGTCTAATATTTGTCCAAATGGGATGAAATTTGGCACATACGACCAAATTGAGTCTAGAAGCTAGTATGCCAAATTTGGTGAAGATCGGTTCAGATATAGTTATAGCTCCCATATATATTTTTCATCCGATTTGTTATTTTTGTCCTCCACAGCTGTAATATGCACTCCGTAACAACGATATTCAGGGAAATATATCAAACACAGCTCAGAAATATATTTGCCAAATTTTATCGAGATCGGTTCAGATTTGGATATAGCTCCCATGTATATCTTTATCTGATTTCAAATGAATTTTGCACCAAATGGGCAATACAAGTCCGAATTTCAAAGATACAAATGCTTCGGCATATTTAGTCTTTTGAACTTTAAATTATAATTATTATCATAGGGTGTATGAGATTGAATTCTCCCATAAAAACTTTTAATTGTTATGTGGAGCTCAACTAAATTAGCAAAGTGGTGTGGGGTATCATAAAATCGGCCCCGCCCGACTTTAGGACTTTCTTTACTGTTTTTTTTTTTTTTTTTTTTTTTTTGATGAAAACCCCTAGTTAGAAAATTTTGTACTTTTTGTACATTTTCATAGAATCGCGTACTTTAAAAAAAAAAAACTTATTTTCATTAAAAAGGAGGAACATTTTTTTATTTCCATTAATAGAACAGTAAAATGAAGCAAATAAATGCATTAAAAATACTCCAATTTAAAAAAAAGTAACCGATTACCAACTTTGAAAGGGTCATAGATATTTTATTGACAATTTTGGTTATTCGCTAAAGTGGGGTTACACAAAATCAAGCTTAAAGCTAAGAAAAAAATATTATATTTCAAAAATAAAAACTGAAGAGCACTCCATTACAAAACAGTATACACAACAACACCATACCTATACAAAAACAACAACAACACACACAACACCAATTAAAAAAAAATCTCACACCCATAAAGTTTTCTTATGAACCTTATATGCCCTGAGAAATTAATTAAAAAAATAAAACACTGCTAACCAAATTGGCCTTACATCAAATGACGTTGGGCGCCAAGGTCCTTTAAGAAAACTTTAGGCCAGACAACAACAAAAAACACCCAAACAATTTTAACACATTTATTAAAGATGCAAAACAACAAAAGAAAAAGGCTAACATGAAATGAACAGCAACAACAAAAAACACTTTTCTTTAGAACCGAAAACAAAAAACCAAAAACAAAAAGAAATCTCTTTTTTCGTATTTGTTTCTTTTTTAACAACAAACAAAAAACGTAATAAAAAGAAACGTCCAAACACCATCATTCAAAGAAAATAAATGCAGACTTATTGTTGTATGCGACATCCTGGATTTAATGACAAACAAAAATTACACAAAAAAGAGTTACGGGTTTTTAGGGCCATTACCAAAAAAACTCCTCATTTTTTTCTGATAATGAAAAAAAAATATTTTTTATTTTTTTTTTATAAAAAAAAATTATGACCAACGCACACATACACAAAACTAGGGACCCTATTTTCTCACCTCTTCTAACACACAAAACCAGCAGCCATGGCACGCGCGTCAAGCAGAGCAGCTTTCAACGAAACAGCAACAAAAACCGAAAATCTCCCAAATAACAGAAATTGAGAACAAAAAAATCTCAGATAAGCCAACAGAGACAGACATCCGACTGTTAAGCAAAGTTAGATTATGACATGTTTTCCCCACACTCTGTAAAAAAACAGGGTGATTTTGAAAACCTCGTTCTCTCTCCCCCACCTTTAAAAAGTTGGGGGGAAAACATAAAGTGGCCCAAAGCTTTTTGTTCCAGAAGGCTTTGGATCAACTTTATGCTTCGTAGACAACAGTGGGAAAATATGGCATAACCTGCAATGATACCCTGATATCATATACGCCCAGCTTCCGCCCGCCTATATATACTCTCAAAGAAAATCAAAATATAGCTAAGCAAACCAACGAAAAAAAGCCATCATCTGGGGTAGTTTTCCAACTACCCGCAAGACAAATAGATCGTTTCTCCTCTACTTCCCCCTGTCTTCCTCCATAACCCCTTTGTACCCCAGGCTCAAACCTACTCCCCCTCCCCCCTTTAAATATTGTCAAAATCTCAGGTATGTATTACAATAAAGCCAAAAT